CACCTGAGTGTCACCCAGGCCCTAGTTTCTGCAAACTGAACCAACATTCCTCAAAGCACAGCTGATCAGGTCTCCTCGTGACAAAGATCTGAGCACCCTAATGAGTAAGCAGCCACTTTCCCTCACACTTTGCACACTGCCTCCCACCATGCCATCTCCTCCCTCTCCCTCCCACACACCTTCCATCCACAGTGTCAGCTGATCACCTGGCTCCACTTGCAACTTCCCAAGGTGCACCACAGTGGCATCTTTCCCAGGATGCACTGCAGTGGCATCTTTCCTCTCACCACTTTCCCACTGATACGTGGTCTGGACACCCATGGCATCACCTGCATCTAGTCTACAAAGAGGGGCAAGAGCCGGTAACCAATTCCCCTGACCCATCAGGAAAGCATGAACCCCTTGGTCTGCACCCCACAGCACCGTGTAAGGTCCCTGCTTTCTACCTTACCAGGGAAAAAGAGAGACAGAACACATGAGAGAAGGAAATACAGATTAGACATAAGAAACGTTTATGCTGGACACAGGGAGATGCACATACACTTCCGTAACTTCTTACTTGACAGCACAACGTGAGGCCAGGACGGAGCCCACCTCACTCATACACAACACCTCGCCTGCCGTGTTCACTCTCAGTGCTCTCGGCCTTGCCAGTCTTTCTAGTAGACACAACTCGCCTGACAGAACACACTTCTTAAGAGAAGGTTAAAATTTTAATAGATAAACGCAGGCACATGTGCTGAGAAAGTGACGTGTGAATAGCTACGCTTTAAGGTACTGTAACAAAAGCATGGTGAACTGTCTTAGTTATTTGTCTCACTGCTGAGACAAAACACCCAACACTCAAAGTTAAAGGAGGAAAGGTTGATTTCGCTCACAGTCTAAAGAGGTTTCAGTCCACAGCAGGCTGGCTCCAGGGCAGGGTGGCATGGCAGAGGGCATCACCCAGGAGAAACAGTCCATGGCAGGCAGAAGGCAGCAAAACCAAGCAAGCAACAAACCACTTTCTGTCCCTCACATCTTATCCAGGCTACCTTCCCTTAGGCCAGGCAGCACTCACACCCTTAATCCTGCACCTTGAATCCTAGCATTGCACCGAGTCAATCCCAGCATGAACCACACTCTAGATCCAGCCATCTCTGAAAAGCCCCACCTATGACCACATGAGGCTTTGGGGAGACATCTAGACACTGCCATAACATGAACTAAACCCAAAAGGGCCTTAAAAGACCAAAGAGTAATGACAAAATACGGTATCTAAGGAAATACCAGCACAAAGAAACAGATCACCATTGAAAGAAATGAAGCCAGAAATGAGGGCAGGCCGGGTTTGACACAGTCACGGTCAAGGCTTGACACACAGGGCTACACACGTTGAGTCAAAGCAGGTAAGAGTCTCTTCTCTTTAATACTTAAATTCAAACTCGTGTGAAGTTATGTATGGAAAATAACAGTTCTAAAATACTACAACCAACAGTAAAGGCCATACTTTACATAAAAAGTAGACAAGAATAAAATCAAAACAGCATGATTTTCCTATCCTTACAATGGTCTTATTTTACAATCAAAATAAATGCTTTTATATTTAAAAATTCATATAAATATGTGATCACTTATGTATAATTTTATAGCATATATAATTACATCCAGTTTTATAAAATATAAGAACCTCTACCTTTGCAAAGGATAACTACAAAAGAAAACACTATTTTCAGATTTCTTAAGGATATAATGACTGACTCATCAACACAGGAGTTACACGAATCAAAAGGAATGTTAGAGTATTATATTTATTCAACCATAAGTACAGTATTAATTATGCCTATCATTTCCTGAATATCAATTATGCATCACATATTTAATCTTCTCCTTTCTTAAGAGATTTTTTTGGGGTGAGGGGGTAACCGGGGATCACACTGAGGACTTTGAGCTTGCAAGGCAGGCGATGGAACCACTGAGCTAAATTCCCGGCCCTTCTTAGAGATTTTTAAGAGAACTGCAGAGAACTTCTAGAAATGAAAAATACAATAACTGAAATGAAAAGCATGCGGGACTAGTTTAAAAAAGAGGTGATGGACAGAAGTGAAATAGAAAATATGTTACGAAAAATTAATCAGAAGGCAGATAAATTTTTTCAAAATGGAATCAGGTATTTCAGTAATTCAATATGTCCATGAATGTTCTCCAACTTTCTTCATTAAGTACATATACTAATATAAAAAATTAAAATAGCTGTTACTTCTCTTTTTTAACAAATACAAAGGAGAAAAAGGAAGAGAATAAGAAAATTAAAAGAGATTCTATGAGTAAGAACATTTAGATAATAAAAATCCCAAGGAGAATAGAGAAAAAAATCAAAGAAATAATTCAAAGATTTTTCTCAAAAATGAGGAGCAAGAGTATCCAAACTAAGGTACCAGCATGATAGACATAAGAAATCCATGGTCAGATTTCAGAACACAGGCAGGGGGAAGAAAGTCTTAGAGAGAATGGGAAAAAAAGTAGAGAAAGAAAACTGGGCTTTCTGTCAGAATGACATTAGAATTCTCAAGAACAACACTAAAAGCTAGGAAAAAAAAACCCTTCAAAATTCTAAGGGAAAATTATTTCCATGCTGCAATTCTGCTGAACCCAAACATCAATTAAACATAAAGGTAGAATAAGCCATTTTCAGACACACAAGTGTTCACTACACCATGTAGTCCTTCTGGGGAGACACAGGGGGTTGTGACTGGCCAAAACAGTGAAACAAACCAGGAAGAAGAGAGAGCATGAGCGTGCCCCAGGAAGCAGGGAACAACACCACAGTGAGAAGTATGAATGTGACTCTCAGGGTGCAGGTGGAGTGAGGATTAGAAAGTTCTGAGACCCACCTCTCCACGAAAGCAAAATATGTACAACACGAATATATGTGATGTGCTGCAGGGAGATTTACACTACCAGTGGGGTGACTCCAGGGGTAAATCTATAATAAGTGTCTCATAAAATCTGGCACTTAAAAAAAAAGAAAAAGAAGGTCTGAAAATGTAGCTCAGTGTGGAGCACTTTCATAGCAGGCGAGAGGTCCTGGGTGTGATCCCTAGTGGGGTGGGGGAGAACTACAAGGAGAATAAATACAACAAGTAAGAACAGGCATATCCACGTGGCTCCTAGGGAGCCCTGCAGGGTCAGCAGTCACCAGGACCTTCCTGACCTCAGAGAAGCACCCTGCATCTGCGTCACCTGCACTGGCCCCCGGATGCTCCTGGAACGGTGCTCCCAGAACGTGCCCTCTTCAGGGCTGTGCTCGGGCAACTCCCTGTGCACGAAGCCTCTTCCACAAACCTCTTACATGTTTTCAGGCCACCACAGTGAGATATTCTTTTACACCTACCAATCAGCAAATGTTTACAAGTGCCATCAATCCTACCATCGAGAGGACAAATGAGAATATGAAATCACAGGAATGTTCCCATACTGCTGAAGGAATGGTCATCTGGTATAACTGCTATGGAAAGTATCTGCTATTACCTAGCCAAACTGAAGATGTACTTTCCAACAAGCCAGAAATTTCACTACTCCTTACACATCCTACAGAAATTCTTACACATGTGTGCCAAAGGAGGGCCCAGTAATTTTTACCACTGTACTATTTTTATAACACAAAAGTAGTTGGAAACAAATCAAGTTTTCATCTATGGGAGAACGGTTAAATATGTTGCACATTATTCATAAAATAAAACATCCTCATAGTGGTTAAAAATGAATGAACTAGAGCAACATGAATGAAAAAGCAAGTCAGATCAAGACTTCTAAGTGTACGATTCCATCTATGTAACGACAGAACATCAAACTAAATATGAGTAATGCTAAAACTATAACGAAAGCAAGAGAATGAAACAAAAGTCAAGACAGTGGTTGGCTGGGGGGAGATAGAATGGGATCAGTGAAGAGCACAAAGGAGACTTGGTGTGTGTATGTTTGTGTGTGTGTGTGTGTGTGTGTGTGTGTGTGTGTGTGAGGGAGAGGGAGGGAGAGGGAGGGAGAGGGAGAGGGAGAGGGAGGGGGGGAGAGAGAGAGAGAGATCTTCTGCAGCCTAAAAATTCAATAATAAAATTCTCAAAAACAAAAAAACAACACAGGCCAATGAATAAATGGAATATGAAACTTGCATACATTTTCAATCAAAAAGACTTAAATGCATTGAGGGTCAGAGAGTTTAAGGACTTCCCAATAGTCACAGATTAGTTCAAAAATTCGAAACTCAAATAGTTTCATCTGACTCAAAATTGAGCGCTCTTTCCAGTTAGAGAAGCAAACAGCTTGGCTAACTTGTAAAATAAATGTAAATTTCATCCTCAAAATCAAAGGGCAGAGGGCCAAGGATTTAGCTCAGTGGTTCTGCCGCCTGCCTCGCAAGTGCAAGGTCCCGAGTTAGATCCCCAGTACCAAAAAAAAAAAAAAAAAAAAATTAAAGGGCAGAGATCCCTTGGAGGAGAAAATGTCTAAAGTTTTCCATCAATCTCACGTGACAATGGCAAATAATGGAGGAGCGGGACCCTGTATAGAGACTGGAGCACAGTACTCAGAGGAACGAGGCGCGCAGATGGCAGAGCCCAGCAGCAAGGTCAGAAGGAGGGCGGGACGTCTACTCGGCCCTCCCAAGAGAAGGCACTGGACTTTTTAGTTCTCTGGACAAGGCTGTGAGCTCAGTACAATCGCCCTCGTTTTACCAATGAGAGGAGGACAGTCAGGGGAGTGAGAAAGAAAGAGGAATTCCTCAACCAGGAGTCTGGCGCCCCATCCGGCTCAGAGAAGAGCAGTCAATCAGGGAAAGGAGTGGGAATGACCAGAAAAGACTGCTGCAGCATTACAGGTCTTCAGCGTGACTACACACGCGAGTACGGAATGAAGAAGCCAATACAGGAATCAGAATGGGCGGGTTCTTCTCTCCAAATCTGTGCCGAGGTTTCTATACCCACCCAGTAATCCACTAAATCTGAGTGCAAATGGTTGCTCACCTGTGAGCGGGATGGTAAACTGCAGTGTTGATTCCATGAGGATAATGGCTACTGAAGTTGAACCTGTGACTCTCTTGGTAGCTCTGGTTTGTTCCAACACTAAATTTAACAAAGGTAAATAACAAATAAATATCATTAAACTACAACGAATTATCATTACATACCCAATAAAATGTCTATAATGTAGAAGACAGGTAACAGCAAATATGGAAGATACAAAACAACCAGAACTCTGACATACTACAGTGGGAATGTAACTGATAGATACAGTCCTGTTGGTAAAAAGTCTGGTGGTTTCTAATAAAAATTAAACTATATCTACCCTATGATTCGGCAATGCCACTGAAAGAGAAACATCTAGGAGGAATAAAAAACGTATATTCATAAATACTTACACAAGAATGGTCATAGTAGCTATATAGCAGCAGCCCTGACTAGAAACTTGGAAGTCTACCAACATAGAGATGGATAAACAAACCACGAGATGCTCATGCATCTACATACAGACACCTGTATACCTGTCTGTAGTACTCACGAACCGAACTAATAACCACCAGCAAAACAAGAATAAACTACTGAGCTACTGGATGCATCTCAAATATTATGCTGGAGAAAGACTTAGACCAAAGAGTCCACATATAGGGTTTCATTAATGTGAATTACTAGTAGGCAAAATTCACCTGTGATTTGAAAACAAGTTTTTAAACAGTAGTCGTTCTGGGGGTGGGTGTGGAAAGAGATTTGCTAGGAAGGAGATGAGGGGACTCCCTAGCCTGATAGTAACATCCAGAGTCTCCACAGGCATTTGAATTGCACAAATATATACACCGGTTATAACTCACAACTGGTACAACTAAGACTTGTGCATTGCTCAGGATATAAATTTTACTTGAAAGAAACTAATCAAATACTGAACCCTAATTAATGATTTGCGTGCTAAATCTAAGCGCTGACATCTGCAGCTTACTCTGAAATGTATTAAAACACAAGATGACAGAAAGATGAACAGATGGCAAAAACGTGGTAGGTGAGCCTAGTAAAATCCGAATTACAGAATCCGAATGGAAATACTTAGGTGTTCACTATGCAATTCTTTCAACTTTCTGATAATATTTGCAATTTTCCATAATAACATGCCAGGAGGACACAAAGCAGTATCAACATCTGATGTGAAACTAGCGAAACGACGTCATACCGATTTGGCTTCCCAAAGTGCCTTTTACCTTACGAGGTAACTTCTGAGTTCTCCGCGGTAATTGGTGACCAAGAGTTCTGCCGACCACTGTGCACTGGCTTTGTATTCTAAAAATATCAACCCAGCGATGGCACAGCTCAAATCGCCCACAAAACTAGATGCCTGCAGGAGAGAGGGAAACTGCATTACTGAGGAGCTGCTACCAAAAGGTAACGTGTGCGTAACTACAGGGCATCTGATGCCCTGGCTTTGACATCCCCAGCTAGACCAGTCTTCCCAACTCTGTTTTTTTAATCACCTGTACCCTTTCATTTACTCAAGCAACACTGCAATAAATAACTTTGAATGACAAGTTCAGGGAGAGGGGTAGAGAAGTGCATTTCTGTTCAAATCCTACATCCAGTGCAAAAAAAGACTGAAAACCCCACCATTCAGCCTTAGAGAACTCTAAGAGTGGCTTTCAAATGTTCAAGTCCACTGCCAGCAATGGCCTAAGCCAAAAAGTCTCCAGTCACTTCCAGGTGCCTCATCAACAGCTTAAAGGAAAGTCTTCAACCGTCCCTGTCAAGCTTTCTCCATCACCTAAGTTACCTGACGACACCACTAAAGCTCTGAAGGCCTGAGCACCTGGGGAAGCACAGCTGACAAAGTCTGCCACCCCTGAGCGCGATCAGGACCGGCCACTACAGAATATACCTGAGCACAAGGGTCCTTTTCAGCTGAAGACAACTGAGAATCGACAGACACAAGAAATGTCTCTGCCTTCCCTTTATCTGCTTTATTATTATATAAAAGCAAAGCACAAACGTCGCTGCATGACAGTGGCCCTTGGGGCCAGGAAGAGGAGGCAGGGAGTCACACAAAAATCAGCCTGCCTGCTCCAAGAGCTCTGATTAATCCATATTTCCCATCAGTTTCCTTCTCATACTTTGTCGCTTGCTAACAACCCAGACCCTGTCTTGTCCCCAGCTCACTTGGGATTCACTTGAACCGCCAAGGAAGAGGCGCCAAGCCGTGGACTGGATGTGATGTCTTTCTGCACACACGTGGCGCCCGCCATAGAAGGGTCTACACCACAGTGGCTGCGCACCAGCATCAGCCTCAGTTACATCTGTGATTTACACCGGGACACGGGAGGCATGCCTGTGCCGGAACGCTGTGTACTAGGACTTTACGTTCCCAGAAGTCACTCCCCACACACAGCCTGGGGCACAGTGCAGCCACCCTGGACTTCATTTTTCCCTGCACCCTGCCAGAAGCCTGGGTGACCTTTCTTCAGCCAGTCCTCCATCACTGAGAGCCCTGCACTAAGCCCAAGTCTAACTGCTTCCTGCATCTTCACATTTCTATGAAGCTCTGTCCTTGCAAAAAAATACTAACATCAATAAAAACTATGTGCCTTTTTTCTGGCTCATCTGTCCCTTGTCGGGTAATTTGCAGGCTGCCAGCTACTAAATTTAAGAGGCAGGGGAAAAGTTTTCCTCCTCAACCCTCCAAACAACGCCTTGTGGTCTAGCACGAGCCAATGAACACTTGACACAGGCCTAGGACAACCACGCACCGAACTTCAAAGACTTGGCGCCAGAACAACAAGGTAAGATATATTATTAATAGCACTTTGTAAATGATAGTATTTTACATATATTGGATGAAATATAACTTTAAATAAATTTCACCTGTTTCTTACTATAGCTACCAGAAGATTCTAAGTTATGCCTGATGACATATTTAGCTCACATTATATCCCCCTGGACAGCACTGGTCCTGAGAACAGTCGTCGGAACTCCACTCTGAGACGGGGACAAAGGGTGGGTGCTCTCCCAGACCCCGACTCAGGACTGTGCCCCTCAAGAGCTGTCCTTCCTCCTCCTCCTCACACTCCCCACCTCCCAGCCTCCCAGCCAGGAGGATCACCAAGACCAGGTGCCCTCCCCACTGCAGCTCCAACAGCAGACTGCAGGAGAAAACAAACTTGCTGTGGACCCTCACACGGGGACGAGGACGGACTCCCAGTCCTGTCACCTGTCACTCACTACAAGTTCGTGTTACTCTGAGCCGTCAGGGAAAAGCTGCTCTTGCCGAAAGTGATTCTCCACCAGGCCTACCGGCCCTCAGTTGGTAACTAAAAGCCCGACAAAGCTGCGTATGCATCCTCACCTTCATGTGGGATCTGTCACCCCTATCATCTTAAAACTTTGCTCAGCTCTGTGTATTAGCATGTGAGTCATTTATTGAGGACATGTCTGTCTGAACACCGGCAGCACGGGATGGGTCAGTCTGAGACTTCAGTGAACATCTCATCCCCTTCAAGCCTGTGGACAGCCACAGGGATGTGGTGGCACACCCCCGTTATCCCAGCACTCGGGAAGCTGAGGCAGGATGATAGAGGCCAGCCTGAGTGATACTGCGAGACCCTGTCTCAAAAAAACAAAACACAAAAGGCTGAGGACCTGAAGATAACAGATTTGCAGGGACGCTCACCTACGAGTGGGCCCCTCCAAGCCTCCAGTCATCACCCTAAACCTGCCGTGACCTTGGGTTCTGGCAGCGCTTCAGGAAACTGAGGTTGCCAAGAGAAACCGTCGTCTCAGGGAGCCCTGACTGCCCGTGGGACACGAGGTCTTATCCGGATCCACCTTGCACAACTGAAACTCGGAAAATGACCGGCCAGACCCCAGCCCAGCCCAGGAACCCACAGAAACTGGGCTCCTTCCTTTGCACGAGCCAGTCTGATCTTCTACCATCAGAGAAGACCTCAAGACCCTTTCCCACAATGCCGTTCTGTGATGAGACGTCACAGCCTGGTGGGGCCCGGCAGAGGCCCCCAGCTCCTCCTCAGAAATGTCTGGTAACCATGGGACTTCTGTAACCTGAGCCCACTTTTTCCAGGTTTTTCCACTCATTTTCATTTTCTGAAAAAAAAAACCATTCTCTGCATTATTGGCTCTCGGCTCTACACTTCCTAGAACACACTCAAAAGCTGACAAACACCATTCGTGCCCAGGAACTATGCAGATCAATTAAACAGAGACTCTGGGGACCCCGGACAATCCAGTAATGTGTGTGGGTCTTGGTTTTGGTTTCTTTCCTCTGTGAAGCTCCCAGGAGACTCTGAGACACAGCCAGAGTTAGAACCACTGTTCTGCCCACCATTGTCTTATTCACGGGAGGGAGGACAGAAACTAAGTAGCACATGATTCCTAGAAGGGATACTAAGGAACTGGGCTGTCATGGGAAAGTCACTGTGCTCCCCTCAATCTGTTTCCTGAACTATAAAATGGGGATGCCTAACCCACTCACAGGCCTGCTGGGAATATTAAATGAGAATACATACACCATCATTAATAAAGTGTGAAGCAGTACACAAATGCAGGTTATTACAACCATTCTTTTTTTCTACTTTTTCTTTCAATTTCTATTCCACCAAAGTAATAAACTCGAACTCCTAGGAGTTGTTCCTGCTACTAAAGTTGCATTGATGGAACTTTACAGCAACATTCTGTGCCATGACAAAAACTACAAGATGTCCTAAATTAATTAAAAGAGCCAGAGGATGGAGGAGTGTGGGAGAGATAAGGGATATCATTTGGTGAATGGGCACAGGCAAAAACAACCAGAAGACTGTTCACATTGAAATCCTGACTCCGATCCCAGCAGGCCTGGTTTCTGGACTGCCAGCCCCAACCTCCAGAAGCAAGCACTCCTCCTGTGGAATGCCTTCCTGTCCCACACCTTCCCGGCCTCCCATTATGCTACTCTTCCTCCCCAGAGCCAACACAGGCAAAAGGCGAACAGTGCTCTCCTTCCCTGAAGTTCTTAAGGTCCTCAGCTCTAGGGCAGCATTTTCTGTCTGCTGCTGGCCCTGCCCTGGAAGTCACAGGAACCTGTCCCAGGACTCGCCCTTTATTTTTCTGGCTGCCCTCTGAAATGGCTCGATACACCCTTCCGTTCCAGACTTGTCTCCTCCCAAGGATTTGGTTTAAAGACCTCCATTTGGTATTTACTCACTGCCAGATGGTTCACATGTGCACAATGCATTACAGAATACAAAGAATAAATACTACACAGGCACAGACCTCCGGCTAGACTCTGAGTGTGTCAATTTCATAGTTTATTATTCTGATTTTTATTAGTCTTTTCCCTCTTCATATTCATTCACTGGAGCATCTAGACAAAGACGGCCCCACCCACCCCACCCCACCCAAAAACGTTGTCAGCCTGCAGCAGGTGCGTACCGGGGCAATGACGAAGAGCTCGCTTCCCATGAGGTCAAACACCCGCACGGTGCCTGTACTCTCTGCGTAGGCCAGCAGCGTGCAATCGTAGCTCCACGCCACCCGCCTCCACTGGGGCTTGGGGTCTTTTGGAACTAGAAGGAAAAGAAAAGAGGTGCCTTTAGCAGTGATGTTATGAAAACCATTAGCACTTTTAGAACTCCAATTAAAGTAGGTATACTGCACCACTGCCCAGACCTCTCGAATGCTTCATGCAGTAGGAAAGCAAGAGGTCCAAACGCACTGTGCTAACACAGTAAGAGACACGGAGAGGGAGAGGCTGTACAGGCAGATGAATCTAGACCGGTTCTCAGTCAATCACACAATCCTAATACCCGCATTATCCTAATAATGCACTTCCCGGATTTTTTTCTATTCTAAATTTTTCAGTATAACAACAGAAAGGCTGCTAACTATTAGAGAAGAAAAAAGAGGCCTGAGAAACTCTAAACTGTGTTAGGTTTGAAGGTTTTTCTGCTTTATTTTGTTTTCTTTGCTCCCATTTCCTGTTATATGAACCCCAGATAGGTAGGACAAGTGTCCTCTTTTAACCAATTCTTTAATTTACACATTCACCAGGTGTTTTTATCACATCTTGTGGATCACACATCTACAGAAATTTCTGTCAAATAAAAACATGATGCTGTGCCTCACCCACCATATTTGCAGGATAATAAAAATGGAATGATACTGGGATAAGACAGACACAGAAAATGATGGGACAGAGTAAAGAGCCCGCACATCAACAGCCAGCTCATTCTGAACACGGGCGCTAAGAGGAAGCGTTGCAGAAAGGACAGCCTTTCTGGTAAATGGTGCTGGAAAAACTGGGTATCCACAAGCAAAGGAAGGAAGCTGGACCCTGCATCTCACCAGTTACAAATGTTAACTCGAGGTAGAGTGAAGACTTAAATGTGACACTTAATACAATGAAGCCACTAGAAGAAAACATGAGGCCCGGGCATGGTGGCACACACCTGTAATCCTAGCATTGGAGAGGTAGAGGCAGGACGGTGGCTGCAAGTTCGAGGCCTGCCTGGACACTCTGAACTGCAGTGAGACCCTGTCTCCGAAAAGAAAAGAAAAGAAAAGAAAAGAAAAGAAAAGAAAAGAAAAGAAAAGAAAAGAAAAGAAAAGAAAAGAAAAGAAAAGATGGAGAAAGCATTTCAGGACCTTGGACAAGGCACGTGTTGGGGGGTGGTCAGGACAATGAAAATAAGGGAAACCAATGCAAACAGACAAATGAGATTACATCAAACTAAAAAGCTTCTGCACAGCAAAGAAAACAATAACCAACAGAAAAAGAAAACCTACACTATGAGAGAAAATATTTACAAACTGTGTGTCTGACAAAGGGTTAATACTTAGAATCTATATAAGGAAGTCCAAAAATCCAAGAAGAAACAATTCAGTTAAAAAATGGCCAACAGATTTAAATACACGTTTCTCACATGAAGGCATACAATTGGGAAGAGGGAAAATGCTCAATATCGGCAATCATCAGGGGACGCTACTTGGACTCCAGTGAGTCATCCTCTTACCCAAGAATTACGGGTAAGAATGGCTAAGAGCAAAAAGGCAAAAAATGTGACAAATGTGACGGGGACATAAAGAGAAGGGCCCCCTGCACACTGCTGCTGGAAACAAACAGCAGTACAGTCATATGGAGACAGTATGGAGGCTATTTAAAAATTAAAACTAGAACTACAAGCGCTCCGGCGATCCCACTCCCCACCACTCGGCAAACACACACGTCTGTGCCTTCCACACACACGGCCACCTCTGCCTGGACTGTGCCTCTCCGATCCCACTGCTCCTGCTAGGCCTGGTGTAACTGCTACCCCATCCTTCCCTGACACCCTTCAAAGCTGACTGCTCTCTACTACCCACCCTTAATTATGGCTGCAGACACATTTTTGGTCATGTTTGTCACACTGTATTATGTTGTGCACATAACTATTTGGCCAACGAGACTCTGAAGGGCCTTCAGTCAGGGACAAGGTCTTACTCAACACTGCCACCCCAGGACCAGGAACACAGCGTGAGTCATACGTTCCCTAATGAGGGAAGCTTCTGTCTCTCAGAAATCTATATAACAGGGCACAGTGATGCAAAGGGTTTGCCATCCCTCAAGAACCAGAGACAAATACAAATTGTATGACAGAGGTCTTCCCTCTACCTAAAACGGTGCTGTGAACAATTCATACTTCCTTTGCCTTCTGTAACAAATATTCTGTATACAAGGAAGGAATACCTGACATCAATAAGTTTCTGCATCTTGACTATCATTAGGTAAAAAGCAATTTTAAATAAGCGCTGGGTGTGGCGGCACATGCCTCTCATCCCAGCACTCAGGAGGCTGAGGCAGGAAGATGGCTGCAAATTCAAGGCCAGCCCATGCTACATGAAGAGTTCAAGGCCAGCTTGAACTACATAGTGAGACCTTGCCTCAAACAAACAAAAACAAAAGTATACTTTAAAGATCCAAGAGAGGCCCTTGAACATGGAAAGGCTAAATAGTTTTATTAAACCCTAATAATATACTGCATACACTCTGTAAAAGCTATTTTGCTTTTGCTTTTTGTCACAGGGCCTCACTATGTAGTTCTGGCTGGCCTTGAATTCACTACATATCCCAGGCTGGCCTGGGACTCATGGTGATCCTCCTGCCTCAGCCTCCTGAGCACTGGAATTACAAGTGTGCACCAACACACCAGGCAACAAAGTTTTTGGCATTTTTTTGGTTTTTTTCTTCTCTTTAGTGGGGGTAAAATGAAAAGAAAACCAGTCTCCTGTCTTTAGACAGCTAAAAAGAAAAATCAGACTTGGAAGGAAACAGACACAAAATGATAAACAACACAGGAGTAAAACACCTGCGTGTGCAGATGCTACATAAAAACCAGCAAGAGGACAGCTTTGCCCTGAAAAACATTCATGTGCTAAGTGAACTCCACAAACGCGCTTCCACTGTCATCGTTTCTCCTGGGTAACAGATTTCCCACTTATCTCATTTTGCTGGGATGAATGGATTGGTGCCATTTCTCCCGCGGAGAGGGTCTGTTTGCACTACTACTTACTGTAGTTACAAACGGCAGCCCCACTACACTCAGCACGCGTCTTCACCAGGGAAGACAGGTCTCCATTACCAGACACCTGAAAATAAAGCCTTCATCACTGGATCTTCCACTCACCTGCGTGGTTTAGGAAAAGAATGAGCAGTACAGAGCCTACAAAGTGGAGGCCCCCAGAGCTGTCTGAGAAGTATTCCAGCACTGATAGTAAAAGTGACTCCAAGGTGACAGCTGCCACTGCGGGGACACTGCCCAGCACCCCGCTGCGCCCAGCTGCAGCCCGGGACCCGAGCCGAACCTCGCGGGGTGCTCCCCTGGGAGAGCCACTCCGACCTCTGTCTACACTGTCTCTGCTCCCACTGCTCTCCAACCGTCTGATGAGTTCACTTCCCTCACAGCTCTGAGCCCCTGCAGTGGTTACACAGCTCTTCCGTCTTTTTACTGCTTGCATTATTCACCTAGAAATTCCACAATGGGGCCGGGGATTTAGCTCAGTGGTGCCACGCCTGCCTCGAAAGTGCAAGGTCCTGAGTGAGATCCCTAGCACTGAGGCAGACAGAGCTGCCAAACATAACTTGGAATGGATAATTACTGTACAATACTGGTTAATGAACTCTGTGCTAAAACCCTGTTTGAAACTTGTTTGAAACTTGTCCCTGTTTGAAAACTCTGGGTGGGCTTCCCCCTCTTGTGGGGCAGCCTATTCCTGGAGAGATTAGAAACCAGCCTTGAAATTTGTATATGTAAGCCCCCAACCTTGAAACCATGGAAAATTGCCTAATGCTGCTTTGCCATGTCCTTGCTACATTCTGTATAATCGCAACTCAAGCGACCCTGTAGGCTAGAATAAGGTATAAAAAGGAAAAATTGTCTTAACTCGAGGTCAGCCAACAAGGACTCACTTCCTGAGGCTGGCCACTGCCTGGCAATAAACTTCTTTTTGTTTTACCCAACTCTCCTGTCTCTGAAAGATCATTTTGACTCCCTCTGCCACAACAGTACCACAGAAAAAGAAATTCCACAGTGTCAGGAACTGTCTCTATCTCGTTCCTAATTTTTCTCTCAGTACCAGGGACGACATCTGGGAGCGCTCCACCAGTAAGCTACATCCCCAGCCTTTTTGACTTTTTGAAACAGGGTCTTGCCAGGTTGGCTAAACTAGCTTGAACTTGCAACCTTCCTGCCTCAGCCTCCCAAGTAGCTGGGATGCCAGGTGTTCATCACGGCACCCAGCTTGGTCCTGACTTCTGCCAGCACTGCCTGATACTCTGGTGGTAAACAGCGAGCACCCACATAAGAAAGGAGCGGACTTCCAGCCCATGCCACTTCCACGCACCAGGAATGGACATGCTTGAGGCTGAGGCAGGAGGATCACAAGTTCAAGGCCAACATGGACAACTGGACCCTTTTATTTTATTCTCAAAATAAAAAGGGCTGGGGATGGAGCTCAGCATGAGGCCCCTTTGTACCATGAGAAAAAATAAATAAAAAATAAAAGAAATGGAAATGGCATGAATTTGAAAATGGGAAGCACTGGGTTCTATTCTCAGTGCTGCCGAAAACAGGTGTGTGACTCTGCGACCACTGAGTGCCGCTTTCCCACGTCCCTCCCACAAGTCCTTCAGTTCCAAGTCAGTACCGGGGAGCAGGGGCAGAGGACAGAACAGCACGCAAGGGAGCGAGATGTTTAAATAACAGTGTCGCTAAAAGACACAAGGAAGGTGTTGAGATTCTACAGTAATAAAAGCCCTAGCATGACAACAAACCCTCGATTTATAGAGAAAAAGAGCAATATAGCAGGGGGAGGGAAGCGGAGGGAAGGAAGGAGGAAGGAAGGTAAGCAATTCTGCAAAAAGACAAACTTAAGACAAATCAACTGGGTAAAATGTTTGTGGTGCATATGATAATGGTTATTGCTTTATAGGTACTACAATACAGAGTAGTACTATACACTACTACTATACAGAGATACTACAAACTAATAATAAAGAGTCAGGTAACCTAAAAGGAATATGGGAGGAAGC